TGTGTGTGTGTGTGTGTGTGTGTGTGTGTGTGTGTGTATGTATGTATGTATAAGGTTAAAGTCATTACAATTATATAGTTATGCTTTTTTGTTGCCGTGGTTTTGCTATCTTTGTTTTGTAGGTGTGGAGCCGAGAAGTCCGGTGTGCTGTCTTGTGTTTTCTCAACGTATATTTTACATATCTTCTAATCTCTTTTTCACTCTTTCTCATTACATTTCACTTTTTTCTTTCTTCTTCTTTTTCTCCTATTAATTTTTTTTAATTTAAAAAAACATAATAATTGTGTGGAGAGGATGACTATAGGGGCAGAAGGGAGGCCATCATAAAAGAAGAAGAAAAAAAAAGAAGCTGGTTCTGGACGGTAGGTCCAGGTCCTTCCCAGGACACCTGCACCGGTCTGAGGCGGTCCTGTGGGTTCTGTCAGAACTCATCAGATGTTTGTTTCAAAATAAAACAGAATTTAGCAGAAATGAAAGATTTTATTTTGTTTCTCAGTTTTATTTTGAAAATAAAGTTTATTTTTCATCTGAACTTCAGTGAAGCAGCTGAAACTTTTAGAGCAAGAACTGGTTCTGGTTCTGGTTCTGGTTCTGGTCTGATGAAAGCATCGACCTGGTCCAGCTGTTGTTTTTGTTTCTGACCTTTGACCTCTTCTGGTTAATCAGTCATCTGTTCCAGGATTCATGTGGAACCGGAAGTGTCCGCCTCGCTGCCGTCAGGTTCAACACAGGTCCACCGGAAGTCAGCGAGCCTGACCACCAAAATAAAAGCATGAAAACTTGTGGTGGAACTTATTTAAAGACAAACTGTTTAAATTCTTTAAACTTTAAATCATCTGACTCTGTTTATGTCAGAGTAAATTTAATTCTCATCTGACTGAAATCATAAAACTAAAACTTTCAGATTATTTGATGTTCAGATAAATTTAGATGAAACTTTGATTCAGTTTGTTTAAAGACTTCATCTGTCTGAGGTCTACAGGAGCAGCACAGTGCAGAGGAACAGCTCCCTAACAGGAAGGACCAGGACCAGGACCAGGACCAGGGCCTGTTAGAAGATTTAATTATTATAAACCACCAAACGATGATGAAAAAAACATAATTACTGATAAAAAAACACAGTTAAAGTTTTATACAAAAGTTTGTTTGTTTTCAAACGTTTTGTTTCAGATGAATTAAAATAAAATGTTGAATTTTTACAGATTTTTTTGACAGAATATATTTTGTTAAACTTTCTGACAGAGGTGAGCAGCACTCATCTAAACATTAGCTGCACTAATTTTAATATTTAGGTCCCCTAATTGTAAAGCACTAAAACAGTCCTCAGAGTCAACATGACAATATTTACTGTGTGCAGATCATTGTTTCATCCAGTGTAGGCTTCTCAAAGTTAGGGTCAGGACCTGTTTGTGGTCACAACACATAAGTGAGGGTCCCCAGAGGATTTAAATGTAAAAACATGTTAAATGAATATTTTTATCATGATTTTTGCAGTTTTTAAGTAATCATAAAATAATAAGTCTCATTGTTACTGTTGGTTTATAGTTCTTATTCCCATGTTTAACAGAGTTATTAGCTAATGTTGCTACATAAACAAATAAAATATGAGGTCATGAGTGTCTGCAGCTGATATTTTATGAGTTTGAAGGAAAACAGTTTAAAGCCTCTGATGTTTCACCCTCAGCTCTGACAATTATCACATTTAAAGAACTCAGTGATTATAAATGTAGAAAGTGCTAAACCACTAATGAATTAAGAAATTAGCAAAAGCCCTAAAGCACTAATCAGAAAATTAGTTCCTCTTTTAGTGCTTTAGTGCTTCAGAGGAACTGTGCCCACCACTGCTTTCTGAAAGTTTTATAAAAAACTGTATTAATGAAAAACAGCTGTCCAATTATTATTGTTAGTGACGTCATCTGTTTCACATTAAAAAACTAAACTTCAGTTTGTTGAAGAAACTAATGTTAATAACCGCGTGCTTTTATTCTGAAGGCCGGAAGTGTGTCTGTTGTCGCGGTTCTGTTGACAGCGGGTCCGGGTCGAGGCGGGATCAGCTGCTGGGATCTGAGTCAGAACTTCCCGGACAACATGAGAACTCCCATTCAGGAGCAGAAGACTGGACCCGGCTGATCCGGACTCACCTGGACTCAGGTAGGTCACGGGTTCGGTTCTTCCCACCTGAACGGATTCGGAGTCCGGACTTTAGAGGTTCAGGGAATCCTCTGAGGGGTCACGTGGTATTTAGATCAGGTGGTCCAGAACCGGTCCGGCAGGAGATAAAAACTTAAGGTACGGATTCTTGGTTCTGATTGAACTGGACTGGAACTGAATCTGGATCAGATCTGAGACCCAGAACCCAGAACGTCCTGATCCTCTGGGTTAGAGAACCGGACCAGAACAGACTCACGTGACAAACATCTGACAGAACCAGACGGTTCTGGACCAAATAAATAAATAAATAAATAAAATAAAGTTTTGAACAAATTCAGAAAAAACTGGTCCAGGTCCAGAAGACCTGGTCCATTAAGACCTGGTCCAGATAAACTTTATTCAGGTCCAGAAAAATTTATTCTGGGTGTCAAAACACCTGATCCAGGTCCAGAAAACCAGATCCTCAAAAACCAGATCCAGGTCCTAACCCCGGTCCAGGTCCTGAAGCACAGGATTCTGGTCCCTGATAAAACTGGTCCAGTTCCAGGATGAAACCCTGCAGGTTCTGGACCGGTTCCTGATGCTGGTCTTTCTGTCTGACAGGTTCTGGATCCAGGTTTGAGAAGAGAACCTGAAGCTGGACCATGCAGGTCTCAGGTGGACCCCCCTCCATGGCTCTGGAGATCAAGCTGGGAGCTCTGGTGGTCCTGCTGTCCGTCACGCTGCTGTTTGGCTTCCTTCCTGTCTGCATCATCAGAGGGGCGGGGCAATGCAGCGTCCAACCAGGTGAGTCTGTACCTGAGGGGCGGGGCAATGCAGCGTCCAACCAGGTGAGTCTGTACCTGAGGGGCGGGGCTTATGTTGGAAAACAAAAAAGTCATTCATCCTGAGACCAGTTAGAGGGTAAACCCTCCAGTCTCAGGTTCTGGACCTGGTTCCGGTCAGGTTCTGATTGTTCTGGATGTGTTTCAGATGTTCGGCGCCGGTGGATCAGTCTGATCAGCTGTTGTTCGGGGGGCGTGTTCTTGGCGACCTGCATGTTGGACCTCCTGCCTGATTACCTGCAGGGGATCAATGAGGCCTTCAGCACCGCCGGGATTAATGTAAGACCACCTGAGACCACCTGAGACCACCTGAGACCACCTGAGACACCCTGAGACCACATGAGACCACCTGAGACATCCTGAGACCACATGAGACCACCTGAGACATCCTGAGACACCCTGAGACACCCTGAGACCACCTGAGACATCCTGACACACCCTAAGACCACCTGAGACCACCTGAGTCCACCTGAGACCACCTGAGACTACCTGAGACACCCTGAGACCACCTGAGACCACCTGACACACCCTAAGACCACCTGAGACCACCTGAGTCCACCTGAGACCACCTGAGACCACCTGAGACATCCTGAAACCACCTGAGACACCCTGAGTCCACCAGAGACCACCTGAGACACCCTGAGACCACCTGAGACCACCTGAGAACACCTGAGACCACCTGAGTCCACCTGAGACACCCTAAGACCACCTGAGTCCACCTGAGACAACCTGAGACCACCTGAGACCCCCTGAGACCCCCTAAGAGCACCTGAGACCACCGGACACACCCTAAGACCACCTGAGACCCCCTGACACACCCTAAGACACCCTGAGACCATCTGAGTCCACCTGAGACCACCTGAGACCACCTGAGACCCCCTGACACACCCTAAGACCACCTGAGACCACCGGACACACCCTAAGGCCACCTGAGACCACCTAAGACCACCTGAGACCACCGGACAGACCCTGACACACCTTAAGACCACCTGAGACCACCTAAGACCCCTGAGACCACCTGAGACCACCTGAGACCACCGAACACACCCTGACACACCCTAAGACCACCTGAGACCACCGGACACACCCTAAGACCACCTAAGGCCACCTAAGACCACCTGAGATCACCTAAGACCACCTGAGACCACCGGACACACCCTGACACCCTAAGACCACCTAAGACCACCTGAGACCACCGGACACACCCTAAGGCCACCTGAGACCACCTAAGACCCCTGAGACCACCTGAGACCACCGGACACACCCTGACACACCCTAAGACCACCTAAGACCACCTGAGACCACCGGACACACCCTGACACACCCTAAGACCACCTGAGACCACCTAAGACCCCCTGAGACCACCTGAGACCACCTGAGACCACCGGACACACCCTAAGACCACCTGAGACCACCTAAGACCACCTAAGACCACCTAAGCGCACCTGAGACCACCTAAGACCACCTAAGACCACCTGAGACCACCTGACACACCCTAAGACCACCTAAGACCCCCTGAGACCACCTGAGACCACCTAAGACCACCTAAGATCACCTGAGACCACCTAAGACCACCTAAGACCACCTGAGACCACCTGAGACCACCGGACACACCCTGACACCCAGTGACACGCCCCCTGCTGAACCCACCTTGCGTCTCCTTGTCTTGCAGCTCCAGTTCCCTCTGCCGGAGTTCATCGTGGTCTTGGGCTTCTTCCTGGTTCTGGTTCTGGAGCAGATCTTCCTGGACTTTAAGGACCGGTTCTCCTCTCAGCCAGAGGAGCGGCGGTCTCTGTTGGGGGCTTCCAGCCTTCAGGAGGAAGAGGGGCGGGGCCAGCGACCCCGCCGAGGCTCGGACCCATCTGATGGTCACTTCCATGGTGAGCTGGTCTCCCAGTCCACCCTGAGGTCCCTGGTCCTGGTCCTGTCCCTGTCCCTGCACTCAGTGTTCGAGGGGCTGGCCCTGGGGCTGCTGGAGGAGGACCAGGAGGTCCTGGAGGTCCTCGTGGCGCTGCTGATCCACAAGAGCATCATGTCGTTCAGCCTGAGCCTGCAGCTGAGTCAGGGGGTGCTGCAGCGCCGCAGCGCCCTCACCTGCCTGCTGCTGTTCTCCATCATGTCACCGCTCGGCGTCGCAGTGGGCGTCGGCCTCACCCAGACCCAGACGTCCCCCCGACACCGACTGGCCCGCTGCACGCTGGAGGGCGTGGCCACGGGCACCTTCATCTACATCACCTTCATGGAGATCCTGCCTCACGAGCTCTCCTCCAGCAGGGACCGCCTCCTCAAGGTGGTCCTGATGCTGCTGGGCTTCACCGTGGTTACCGCCGTGCTCTTCATCCACCTGTAACCACGGCAACGCCACCTTTCACCACACCTGTGTCAGGGTCCGGGTCCTGTCAGGGTCCTGTCAGGGCCCCAGGTCCTGTCAGGGTCCTGTCAGGGTCCAGGTCCTCTCAGGGTCCTGTCAGGGTCCTGCCGGATCCTGTCCAGGTCCTGTCAGGGTCCTGTCAGGGTCCGCGTCCTGTCAGGGTCCTGTCAGGGCCCCAGGTCCTGTCAGGGTCCAGTCAGGGTCCTGTCAGGGTCCGGGTCCTGTCAGGGTCCTGTCAGGGTCCTGTCAGGGTCCGGGTCCTTTCAGGGTCCTGTCAGGGTCCAGGTCCTGTCAGGGTCCAGTCAGGGTCCTGTCAGGGTCCTGTCAGGGTCCAGGTCCTGTCAGGGTCCTGTCAGGGTCCAGGTCCTGTCAGGGTCCTGTCGTCAGGGTCCTGTCAGGGTCCAGGTCCTGTCAGGGTCCAGGTCCTGTCAGGGTCCTGTCAGGGTCCTGTCAGGGTCCAGGTCCTGTCAGGGTCCTGTCAGGGTCCTGTCAGGGTCCAGGTCCTGTCAGGGTCCTGTCAGGGTCCAGGTCCTGTCAGG